CACCCCCAGGGCCTGCCCAGCCCCACCACCCACCAGAAGCTCAGCCTCTGGCTGTGGGCTGAGCCCATATCCAAGTCCTTGCTGCTACTGCCACTCTCATTCCCTTAGGTGACTTAGGCCTTGAAGGTAACACCCTGTCTTTCAATTCCAGAGGACAACCCTCTGTAAACACCCCTCTCCACACCTCCCCTTTCTGCCCTCCCCCTGATGCCAACTGCCCTGAAGCAAGGGGTCCAGCCACCCAGCTCCTTTTGCTAAATTCACACACTTATAATCCAATTCCCCAGCCGGAAGGGTCTTAAGAAACTGACCCGGCCAACCTCTGGATTTAGACAAACTGAGGATTAGAGGGGACCCGGGATTTACCCCAGGGGGGAGGGGAGGAGGATCCCAAAGACCCAGAGGGTAGGGGAAAAATCTGAGCCGCCTCTGGCTTCTGAAGATGCCTTCCAAAGTGCCCCCTGGGACTCAGGACAGCCCCCTTCTGCCCCATCATTACCCATCAAGGGGCCCCCTACATCCTGGCCCAGCCCCCCAGTGCAGCTCGTTCCTCCCTCCTGCAGCCCCAATGTTTTTCTGGCATCGGAGGGTCCACAGCCTGGCGCTTATTTAATGTATGGGGACCGAAATGGCCCCAGGATTCCCCCATTTTGTTGATTCATCCCTCACTCAACCCTTCCCGGTCCCCAGAACAGTCACTTGTTGAGTCACCCAAACCGGTGAATGGGTCTGGGGGTGGTGGGCAGGGTCCCAATCAACACTGTTGGTTTCGCTGGACCCTGCCAGTTCCAGTTACTACTGGCTTTTCCCTTCCCTGTCGGCTCGCACAGATGTCAGCCTCCCACCCTCCCTCTGTTGGAGTCCTTGCTTCTTTTTTTTTTTTTTTAAATATATTTTATTGAGTTTTTACAGAGAGGAAAGGAGAGAGATAGAGAGTTAGAAACATTGATGAGAGAGAAACATCGACCAGCCGCCTCCCGCACACTCCCCACTGGGGATGTGCCCGCAACCAAGGTACATGCCCCTGACCGGAATCGAACCTGGGACCCCTCAGTCCACAAGCCGACGCTCTATCCACTGAGCCAAACCGGTTTCGGCGGAGTCCTTGCTTCTTATCTACCTACGTTGGGGTAAACCCCGCACCCCCAAGAGTGTCACCCACCCATCACCAGGTTTAGGTTCTGTGGACACTCTGAGTCTCCCCCGCGCCCCCGACTTCTGAGGGCAGGGGTCCCTAATCCGTAATCTAGGGCTTCCAGGGGATTGTAGGAAGTCCTTTTCCTCAGGTATTCCCGCTGCTGGCCCACACTCTGTCGCACACTTTTGGGATCCTGGCGATTGTGGGGGACTTCCCTGGAGTATCTGCAACCCCCACCCCCACCCGCCCAGTGGAGGTGGTGGAGCCTCCTGGCCTCCGAACCTTATCCCAGGGTTTAGAAGCCCCGCGGACGGGCGGGGGCTCCCAGGTCTGAGAGTCCCAGAACCCACGCCCAGAGATCCCGGTTCCACTCCGGGACCCGGAGGTCCGCACACCCACCTCTCAGTCCGGGTCGCCAGCCGCGCGCGGGCTCAGGTCAGGGTAGGTGGTTCGGGATCCGACAGATGGACGAGGAATGTGTCAGGCAGAAGGCGTGACGCCTGGGATCCCAGGCCCGCGCCGCAACCGTCCTCCGGACTCTGGCACGGCGGTCTGTCCAGCC